TAAACTGCAGAGAGACCCAGTCTGGTCCTTGCAGGCCCCAGGGCTCGCACCCTCCCCTCTGCTCTGCGTGCTCAGGCCTCCCTTCCCTCCCCCACCTGCTGGCTCTTCTTGGTCAAAGCTTCGGTTCACATGCCAAGTCAACCATAACTGCCTAATCAATAATAAAGATTCATCCAGCCCAGCCGGAGCGGCTCAGTGGCCTGAGGTCACAGTTCGAGTCCTGGTCAGCGCACATTCCCCGGGTTTTGGGCTCAATCCCCCATTCGGGGGCGTGCAGGAGGCAGCTGATCAATGACTCTCTCATCATTGATGTTTCTCTCTCTCTTCCCCTCTCCTTTCCTTTCTCTCAAATCAATAAAAAACATTTTAAAAAAAACAAAGATTCACCCATCCATCCATCCTCAGTTACCTGGGCTGAGATGGGAGGCCGTGCAGAGATGAAATGGGGCCAGGAAGCACCCCTAAACCACAGACATCGCTGATCTGGAGGCTTTGTGGGTGTCTTGTAAGTTATGCTTCCAGCAGTGCCTTTGCTCGGTTTCTACCCAGGTGAACCTCACTCTGCCAGGGCTGGTCCCCGACTGCAGCAGGTGCCGTGTGCGGACAAATAGGGCTGAAGTAACACACACCAGGTCCCCGCAAAGTGCCCGAGTCACAGGCCCGTCCCGGAGTTGGCTCTGCCCAGCTCTGCTTTTTCTCTTGCCTCCGGATCCTCTAGCGCTTGATGTGTAGACACTGTCTCCCTCACAAGGGAGTTGTAAGGAATAACTGAATAGCAATTGTATTTGTAAAGCACTTTGCCAAGTGCCCCATAAATAACTCTTCATGTGATTGTCATATGTATAAAATGCTGTAGATGGTGGGGGGGGGAATGACCGCCAGGGGCAGAGACACACAACCTTAGGCCAGGATAGCAGGTCTCTGGGAGTGAGGCACCCGTGGGGTCGTGAGAATTATGTATCAGCAGAGACCCTGTCCCTGACTGTCACTTCCCCTCACCACATGCGGGCAGCAGGAGATGTGTGTATGTGATTTAAAAATCAACCAGCAGCAGCATCCACTTAAGATATTAAAACCCTGATGTGTGTACTTACAGTGACGCCAATTCTACCCATGACTGCCTGTAATTCTCCGAAAAATATGAGACGATAAAACATAACCATTACTTTGCCATCTTATCTGTGGCTGCTCTTGACTTTCTGAGCCCCACGGGGCCTTCGCAAGGGGAGTTTTCACTCCCCCAATAGCTGGTGTCTAGCATTGTGTTGATGTCATTGTCAAGAGCAGCTCAAGGCCAAACTATGCCCCAACCCACATCTTTCTCTCCATCTTTGATGTGACAGTCTTCAATCGGCTCCATTCATAGTGTGAAAAACGTGTGTTATCCAACCTGGGATAAATTCAAAAAAAATCCATGTGGCAGTAAAAACAAAACAAAAACAAGAGACTAGAGTCTCTGCTTTAACCACCACGATGCAGATGGGCCTTTGGGCTGTGAAAACGCAGCCATCCCCAGTGAGCCTCTCTCCTCCTAATGTCAGGCTCTAATTATGCTCACGTCGCGTCTGCGTGTTATTATTTACATTTCCGAGTTGGTGTTTGCACACTTGGCAGCGTTCCCAAGGACGCCTCCCCTGTCTGAGCCCGGAGACGGCTGTGTGTCTCCTGGAAGGGTGGCTGAGGTCCCCTGACAGCTGAGCTCCTGCAGAAGACGGCTAGAAGGGTTCCCTTCTCAATCTCAATTTATCCATCTCTCCCTCCCCTCTCCCTTCCTCTCATTTCTGGGAGAGAGCATCTATTAGAATCACTTGTGCCATAGATAACGACCCCTTTATAGCTGTGTGTGCTCCCCCTGTGTAATTAGAAAGTGCATTGTTGTGTGATTCAGAAATTAATTAGCAGGAAATGTTTCAAGAATGCAGGTGGAAGTGGGAGGCCTGCTGAGCCCCATCAGCCATGCGTCTGGATTGCCTCTCAGCTCGGGGGGGAATGCTTCTGGGCTCGCCCAGTGACAGTCCCTATACAGAACCATGGGTGGCTCTGGAGGTCAGCCCTCCCTTCTTCACCCTGGGGGCTGAGGGCGGCTGCAGAGGCCACAGCTGGCTGTACTGGGGTGCTTTGGCCCACTGCTGAGGGGAGGCCCGGAAGGTGCCTCTCAGCGGCCCAGAGAGCCCTGGGGGTCCTCCCAGGTTTGCAGGTTCGATCCCTGGCCCCAGGTCAGGGCTCATGTGGGAGGCAACCAATCGATGTCTCTCTCACATCGATGGTTCTGCTCTCTCTCTTTCTCTCTCTCTCTCCCTCCTCCCTCCCTTCCACCTCTCAAAAAAAGAAATCAACTGAAAAAATATCCTCAGTGAGGATTAACAAACAAAGAATGAATGAAGCCCCAGGTGTCGATTCCCTTCCCATGTGCGTGAAGCCTGCTCCTGTCCTCAGGCAGCCCTGGCCTCTGTCCCCTCTTGCGCCTGATTTCCTGCACCTCTCCTCCTACACTGATGTGGTGCTGGTGCCAATTGCTGTTACTTCTTTACGGGTCTGTCTCCCCCATCTTCGCACCCCCTCCCTGCAACCCCCGGGGCCAGCACCGAACCTGATACGTAGTTGGTGCTTAAGACATATTTATGATTGAATTACTGAGTAGGATTGAACAGTGTGGCTCCAGCCCCCAAGATCTCACCCTGCTGCCCTCGGGACAGTGAGGGGAAATCCACTCCTGGTCTCCAGGAGGAGCCTAGGGCCAAACAGGAGCCCACCCTGCCCACTGGGTAAGGCCACTGTGCGAATCCACGCACGAGAGAGCCCCCGACACTCTGAAACGGGCTCCGAGCGCAGGCAGGATCATTTTGGCTTGAATTTCATCACCAGATAGAATCTCTAATCTCCTAATCCTCTCTTCTTGGGTGAATTTAATTCAATTCAACAAGCCAAAATGGAAGGCTTACACTACGTACTTCCAAACTCCCAGAGAATTCTCGTCTGCTTTTCTGTTTCCTAACAGGGCCATTCCCCTCTGTGAAAACTCAGGTGCAAACTCACTTTGGCAGAGGCCTCCCCAGGCCTGTCCTAGTCAGGACCAGGACAGGTGTCACCTCGCCCCACTGGACGAATGGAGCGCTTGGTTAGTACACTGGCTCTGGTGTGAACCTAAAATTAAAGGCCAAAGTGAGAGGCAACAAGCATTTATTTCAGGTCCAAAATAATAGCCACCTGGATGCACTGATTCAGTCAGTAATGCAAATAGCGTTGTGATTAGGAGGCGAAGGCAGGGGTATTTATGAGAAACGGAAAGGGAGCAATTACATCAATAGAAGGAAGGCATTGCTATGGGTGCAGATAAACTAACATAGTGAGCTAATTCGAAAGAATGTTTTTAATTTCCAGCCCAGTAGCCATCCATCTAGTAGTCACACTTACTGCTTTCTTGTTATCTGTGCAAACAGTCGTTTGGGAAATAATGCTGCTTAAGCCCAATCCAAAGGTTATTTTGCCCGGTTTTCACATTTCAGTGGTTTGAGGAGTAAGACACACAAGGCAGCTCCTCTAGGAGGGCAGCTCTGACTCCATGTTAAAGTGGCTCCATCTGGATGGTTTTTCACACTGAAATATTGCTGAACCTCAGGATCCTCTCTCTTGGCTGTAAAATTGATCAGGACCAAAGGGAAGCCCAGGAGGCAAGGCTCAAAATACATAAAGGAGACCCAAACTCTGCCTCTGGTAACAACTACGAAACGATCACAATGGCTGATATTTATGGCACGTTTCCCTGGGCGTGGGAACTATTCTGTGTGCTTTCCTGTACCTCATTCATCCTCACGACACTCCCATAAGGTGTGTATGTATGATCCCATTTTACAGATGAGGAAGCTGAGGCACAAGCTGACAGTCTAAGAAATCGGTAGACATGAGCTTAAAGGTGGAGCAGGGTAATGGTGATTCATGATTAATCGGATGAGTTTCCTCCCCTCTGTGGTCAGCAAGTGTCCAAGCCCAGTGCTCTCTGCGACAAATAAGCAGCCCGAGCAGAGCCTTTTCCAGGGCTTTTCCTGGAGTGACAGGAGTAGCAAGGAGAAAGGATGGAGAAGGAGGGGCTCCCAGCAGGGATCTGCGGCCCAGGCCCAGGCCCAGAGGCAGAAGACCACCTGAGCAAAGACCAGGTATGGGCCGAGGGGAAATTCCAGCCCAGAGTCCTGGACCCAATGGGCCACCAGCAGAGTCTCACCTCCTAGGACAGCGTGCTCGGATCACAACCACGGGGAAGGGAAAATTAGATGCCCTTTTCCCATACTCAGTGCCCCATAACCAGCCTGCCTGCAGAACAGCCCTAGGGAGCCGGGGGTGAGGTGGGAGAGTTGGATGGGCACTCTGTGTGAGATTTAATTAGACTGAGAAGCAGGGAGAGCAGATTCATGTCGCCAGCAAGCTTCTTAAAAGTCCAATTATTTGTTAACCATTCAATAGCATGAAAAGAGGAAAGATTGTTGTAGATTAAAAGGGGCAAGGTGAGGACCTGGGTAGAATCCCATTCAAATAAACCAACTCGAAAAGTGCATTTCCAAGTCAGACAAGGAGATGATATCTGCTGAGTCTGGACAAAGGAAGGACCCCTTTTCTTCTGGGGCCCACAAGCTGGCAAAACAAATATGTCTCCTCTGTACCATCAGATGAACTGAACTCTCCCTACAGGGTGAGATCCCAGAGCTCACCTCCCCATTAGTTGAGAGCCTACCCCACCTTCCCCACTGGGCCTTGGTAGAACTGAACCCAGCATTAAAGCTGACTGGTGTTTTACCGTAGCTATGAGTCCTGCTCCTATTAGGAATGTTCCTTAGCTCTACTTCTGGTATTTGAAAATTAATCCTTTATTAGACTAATAGCACATACGTGTATTTTCTCTCCAGTAGCTCTTCGCTATGCCCAGAATGTCTGTGTCCCTCAAATTCATATGTTGGACACCCCCCCACACACCATGTGACAGTGTTAGGAGGTGAGGCCTTTGGAAGGTAAATAGGGTTAGATGAGGTCAGGAGGGTGGGGCCCTCATGAATGGGATTAGTGCCCTTCTACGAATCATGAAAGGGCTCACTCTCTCTGCTGTTCATGTCAGAATACAACCCCCAGAAATCAGCTGTCTGCGACTTAAAAGAGAGCCCAAACATGCCAGCACCCTAACCTCAGACTTCCAGCCTCCAGAATGGTGAGAAATAAATGTGTGTTGTTTCTAAGCCACCCAGGCTGTGGTACTTTGTTACAGCAGCCCGAGCTGACTAAGACATTCAGCCGCCTCCATACTTCATTTCTGAAGTCTGTGTATGCGAACCAGCTCCGTCCCTCTCTACCCATTAGGACAGCAGGCTGTGATATCTATTTTCTTACCAACAAGAAGATTCCTGTGTTCAGCTGTGAGCAAAACTAACCTGAATTGCATTTCCCCTCCAGCTATTTGTCAGGTAAGAATTCCCCTCAGCAAGGATTTTCCTTTAGACTCAGCAGACACAGACAGTACAGCAATTTCTCCTGCCTGAAAGTAAGAGAGGCCTGCTCTCCCAGCGGCCCATCCTGCCCCCTTCCTCGAGAGGGCTGGAGCTGGCTCCTTTCCAGAAGGCGGCCACCAGAAGCAACTTGATCTGTAGGAAACCTCTCCTCCAAGTAATTCACCCCCATTTTCCACCTTTCAGTCATTTCCCAAGAACATCTTCTTTCCGAGAGTATTAAAAACCTCAGGGTGGTCCCCAGATTGCACATCACAACTTTCATTCATTTCTGTCCCTCCATTGGGCCCTGGGGTGAACTTCACTGCTGCTGAAAGAGACCCCTCAGATGCTCTGGTGGGACAGGCCAGGATCTCAGGAAACAACGCCAGGCAAGACGGATTAAGGATGACCAATGAATGCCATTTGAGGATAAATGTTCACAAAATTGCAAAGAAGGAGGGAAAAGAGGCAGGCGGGCTGGCAGGGAGCGTCACCGATGTCCAAAACCCAGGATCAGACTAACACACAGCACAGGCACTGCAAAAGAAAGACACCAGGTGAGCTTGCGGCTCCTCCAGGAGCTGCTGTGACTTTGCCAGATGTCCTCCTGCCCCCCCCATAGCATGAACTCTTTCTACCTTTGCCCCCCTGTAAGCACCTCGCTCAATAAGAGGAAGCCCTAACTAAGTCACCAACCCCCAAGCAGAGCCCTATAGAAACAGGACTTAGGAAAAGCTTAGACGCAAAGGGACATCCCAGACCAGGTGTGTGTGTCTTCATATACATGTAAAAATGTGCATACGTGCACTCAATGTCAGGTTCAACACTACTGTCCGGCATTTATAGGCATCTGCAGGTATGTTTGTAGGAAGGCCTTCCCTAGATCAGTAGGAAGGGGTCAATGGCATTAGCACTTCAGAGAAAAAAAGAAAGTGGCTGTGTGGTGTCCAGACAACTTGGCAGGGTCAGGAATAGCTGGTCCTCCAGTTCCTCTGCCTCAAGAGCAGGTCAAGGGCAATGCCTCCCTCTTGGCCGGACCCTCGGGACATCCCCTCCCCTGCATCCCTGCAGGCAGGTGAAGGCCTCTGCGGGGTAAGGCTGCAGGCCCCACAGGGGTGGTGCTCAGGTGTAGTCTGCATAAGACACCGTGCGACTTAAACGCAGTAAGACAGTCATTTACTTTGCATTTTCATTCTCCTCTGTTGCAATTTAATTTTGTTCCTGATGCCTTTCTATATGTCAGTCTAAGACATCTGGCCCTAGACGTCACACACTTTCGGTTGTACTCACTACCCACAATTCCATTCAAATGAACAAGGGCGTGAATCCTTGCAATGATCTGAAATACAGGTGTAGCTTTATAATCATAATAATCAATAAAAATGTTTAAAAGATTGCATGACAGTCATATTCTTGCCCTCAATGCCCAATAGAACCTGTTGTGCCCGCATGGAAATAAGACACCACTTGCTACCCTTACTGTCCAAGGATCTCCAGGTACCCTCGGCAAGCAGTTCATCAAAACTCAAGTCACTTACTTCATCCAGAGAGAGCTGGATGCCGCCATTCTGGTCCCCGTCCAGAAGCCTGCACAGCTCTAGAACACCAGAAAAGGAATGAAATCCCATAGGGATGTTCTTGGACTTTGGGCCAGTCAGAGAGCTGCCTGTGTCCACCCTACCCCCATCTGCTGCCCT